AATAAAGTTGTCATTGTATGCTCCCATACAAAGACGAAATTGGTTCTCTGCATTTAACCCATCGCACCGGGGATACACACAGGTGGAGCAGTGGGCAGCTATGCAAGCGCCCGGGGAGCAGTTTGGGATAAGGCATCCTGCTCAGAGACACCACTAGATGCACAATGATCAGGGATCGAACCCACTCGGCTGCCATCTTGGATCTTAAGGTTTTTCTTTTAGAGTTTATAAATTTGTTGGATGTAACTGGGACCCTGTGTACACAATTTTGTTCCACCACATGTACCACATGTCGTGCGTATGACAACTAAAGAACCTTGAATCCTTGAAATTATCCAGTTTGGTTCTTTATTTGCCGCAACATTTGTTAGTGTACCTTCTTTTTTTTTTTTGAATTTACTTGCTCTTTAGCATTTTACTATTCCTACTTAAACCTTGCAGATGAATACATAAAGTACACTAAACATCATGGTTTATGTTTAATTACTATATTTGACACATACAAGGCTGTAAAGTTCACCTCTGTAACTAAATTCTCCTCAACTGTCAAGCTTCCTTCAGCCTCTGCATGAATAACCCTGTGATACTCTTTTACTGTTAGGTTAATTAAAACCTTCAAGTTAGGAAAAACATATTAAATAAAGTTGCATAAAACATCCATGGCAACTTTTAATACCAAATGTTTATTAGAGCAGGTTTGTGTTGAAGCGAATCAGCATGGAGACGTCACATATTGTTTCGATAAGACTTTAATGATAACTTGAAACATGGACGACAAACAGAACATTTCAAATTCATAAATAGTACATTATACGACAACATAACAAAAGTTTGATATTAATATTATTAAATAATACTCGATACAAAAACAATACAAAAATGAGATGCCTGCATCTCAAACTAAATACGTTCAAATACGTTTTATAAAAAGCTCATAAATAGCATTCTAAATAGGTTATAAAATAACAGTATAAAAACAACATTACACACGTTTCCTTGTCATTCAGCGCACCATCCTGATGAATGTGCAGCAGGCGCTGCGAGTGTAAACAGCCTCAGTGGGATTAACGGGCGACAGTACCTCAGCACAGTGCGTTACAACAATTCAGACGGCTACAAGGAAAACCGAACACATTTAGTCTCAGTCGTCTGAGATGAACCTACATTCTGCTTTGTTTCAGAAGATATGCTCCAAGAGGAACCTTGAAATGATGCTCCGTCAGATCAGACAAGTGGAAATAGACTAGAGCTAGAAGCTTTCGAAAGATGGGCCTATTTTTTTTTTTTTTAGGAATATGTGCAATTTTGAGCCAAATATCTGCTGCTAACAAAAAAAGTTTGTGGCTCAAACTCTATGACGGCGCTAAAAACTAGTTTAAAATACATCCATGCAGCAGGAATCCTACAAAGAGCAGAGCGTAAAACAGGCCAGGCAACTTAACTCTATTATTCACAACGTTGTCCTTCATTTTGTACATTTTTTTATTAAAGAAGCTAAAAACACCTGCATTTTTTTAATCCAAGCTCATTTTAATGCGAGCGAGTTTTAAATGACCACAGTGATAATTAACGTTTTGTGACATTTCATGTAATGAAATAACTCCTTTGGAAATAATCTTGTGAGAATAAAGGTCTGGGACTGTCCTCTCTCATAGTTTAAGCTCCGGTATCTTTTCACAGAACATCTGGAGTTAGCTGCATCCCCAACACATTTTTAGTAAACTTAACACTGACTTGTGATCCGAAGGAACACGTGAAGTTTGTGCTTTGATTATAGTAACACTAACATGAACCGTTGCCGACACAAGCTCTACACTTTAGAAGAGCACGTTCAGAAGCGAGCCATCTAATAAAGGAGCGTTTATTTATAAAGGGAATGATGCTTTTGCTGGTATTTAAATCATAAAAAAATAAAAACTGTTGAGCTTTTTGACTCACAATGTTGAGGATTCTTCTAGGAAATAAAACTTTTGACCTAAAGAAATGTAAATTATTGAGTTTTCCAAGTTTCACCAGGACTTTTCTATTAATTTTCTGAGCAAGCTCTGAACTTGTTCTTGGACTCTCCCAGTAAGAACCAGTCCCTTGACCGACCCTGCCATCTTGAGGTAGTCCACCAGCATGACGGATAATCCTCCCATCCTGCCTGAAGTGAAGTGGTTTCATAGACTTGACAGTTGTTCACATCTCTTCAGGCTGTGGGCTCAATGTCTGGGGCAGAGGTATTTTCTGTGGAAGTGCCGTAAGATCCTTTTGGAGCTAAAGCTGAAGGCTTGCAACCTTTCTGAAATTTCTACGGAGAAGATAAGGGCTTCGAAGGAGTTGGAGACAACGGGAAGCGAGGGAGCTGTCGTCTGAGGAGTCTCTTCATTAATCTGAAGACAACATTAAAACAGCAACGATTAAACAAACGCCCATGCTCTGGTGAGATTTTAAATTCATTAAAACTTTCATTACATTGGTCAAACTTCGCTGACACTACGTGAATTTTTTCAAATTTTTCTTTTGTCGTTTGATTTTCTTAACTTATTTCATAATGGGTGGAAATAAGCTAAACCACACAGAACACACCTGGTGAATAGAATTTCTGAGGAGCACCGCTAGGTGCTGGAGGTGGGCTCTGGCCCCCTCGTCTGCCTCGAAGGGCAAACTCAAGTTTTCTTTAGCAGCTTTCAGCCAGTCGACGTGCACCCTGAAGGCCTCGGTGTCCACATACAGCTGCAGGAGTGACTCGTTCATCTGCGGACACATGAAACACCCTCTGCATCAACCAGTCACTTCACTCACACGTTTATGTGGCGTTCAAGTCAAACAGGTCGATACCTTCAGAGTCTTGAAGTGAGCAGCAGTGTGTTGGAAGCGAGGAAGACTTTCCAGCTGGTCTTCGACAGCAGCAAAGTTCACAAGTTTGTCGTCCGGCTGTTGGAAACATAAATAAAATACTTAAAGTTTTGAAGAAGTTATGAACAAATTATTATAAATCTGGCACTGACGTAGTTGATATATTCTGTTATATTTGCCTTAAAATGCATAAATAAATTAGTACTCGTTCATAATAAGAACCCATTTGTAAATAACTCATTACTGCTTTATAAACAGCTTCATGAGTTTGTAAGCACTTTGTAAAGACTTAATCATCATTTAGAAACGGATAAAAACCACTGAAGCAGACTCGATCATTATTTGGATGTGCTGAAGTTTTATTCAGTAACCGACACACACTAAAAACTGCTGGGTTAAAATAAACTCACTTTTTAACCCAACTCTGGGTCAAATTTGGAGCAAACGTTAGCTGGTTGGCACTAACGGCTATTAGCATTAGTTAACTCGCACTAATGAAAGCTGTTTTAGGAAATTAAACTTGTCGTTTATTACAAACTAATGTTGGTCACAAAACCAACCGGGAGCTGAACTACATGAGGGGAAAAATACCAAGGACACTAAAACACAAAAACAAGAATCACAGAAAAACTCCAAAAACCACACATCCATGACATCAATGGGCTTTTACTGGGAGCGATTAATTAAATTATTTTGTTGTTTAATTGTTGCAACAGCCACAAAATCTAATAAAAAATGTTCTGAAACTCATTTTTCATTCTGTTGCAGGAAGTTAGAAGAGAGTCTTACCACGTTATTGATCTTCTTGGATGAGTTCAACAACCTGTCCAAGTGATGGACCATTGATCCAAACATCCCACACATGAAGGGGCTGGGGGTGGGGAACGACGCCGACCGAAGGACCAGCTCCGTCAGAAGCAGCAGGTGGAAAAGTGTAGACTCGTGAATTACTGGGAAGACAAGAAAAAACGTGGAAAAGTTTACTCACAGTTAAACTTTGGCCTCATTAAAGTCTAATCTTTCACAATAAAATACATAATCAAGAAGCCAGGAATAGTTTTTGGATCATTTTGGTCCAACTGAGCAGCATCCAGCTGTTTTTGCACACACAGCTGCACACAGTCCCACAACAGGTGGCAACATGGCTGCATTCAAACCACAGCTAAAGATTTCCTCCCTTGACCCAGAGCTGCTGCGTGATTCAAGCTGAAAACCACAACGCTGCCTGATAACTTGTTTTTGTTTCTCAACCTCATGACGCACAAGATTAACCCCGAAGCAGCTGCAGTTTGAGAAACGCTTCTCATGTTGGTCACGTACGTAAAAAGCCATTTGTCTGACGTGAAGCGCCCGAGGAGCTCGAGGACAACTAATTAAAATGCATCAAACAAACGTGTGTAATTTGGAAGATGCCAAGGTTGATTTGAAAACCAAGAAGGAATTTGATGCTACAGTTGACTGGGACATCCTGTCGTCTAGACGTTTACAGTCATTGTAGGAATCAGATAAGAGCTGTAGGAAGTTCAAACCATCCAGACTAAAGAGTGGTGCTGCAGATGATGTATAGATACCAAACCTGTTAGATGCAGAGTGTGTGTGTGTGTGTGTGTGTGTGTGTGTGTGTGTCAGGGCAGGAAACAGATTTCTGCAGGGTGATGGCTCGTGTTTCTGGGAAACAAACAGTCGAGCAACTGGTCCGTTTACGTACGACATCTATTATTGATCAGCTTTTTTACAGATATAACGTCATTTTTTTCATGATTTATTTTGAGTGAAACAGAAACAGGACAAACGCTCGAAGTGATTATACACAAAGTTCACCAGAGGAACACGTTGAAGGACATACCCTGTACACAGAATCTGGCTTTCGTTTTGTTTGTTTGTTTTCTCAGATTGTTTCTGGTCCGTCAGAATTTTCAAGTTCTCTGAGCTTGTTTTTAATTATTTCATCCAAAAATATGTGCATGTTTTCATTTGCCTGTATTGTTAGCAAAATATGGACTTTATGGATCCATCTTGGGATGCACGATATTATCGGCATGGTATCGGTATCGGACGATATTAACGTTAAAGTTAAATATCGGACATCAAAATAACTCACTGATATAAAAGGTTTTGTTTTTGTGTGACAACCCAGTGACAATGATGCCTGCAGCGCCAGCACAACGTGATGACGTCACGTGCGCCTCCAAAAATGTTTTGACTACGTTGAGCCTCGCTAGGTCATCCCCTGTCAGAGACATTTTTCGGACGTTACAAGCCGTCATTTCCAACATCATTGAGAAGCTAACAGCTGATAGCACTTGGGTGTTTTACCACAGACATTTGGACGTCAAGTGTTAGCCCCGTTAGCATGATCAGTCTTACAGCACAATGGATGGACAAAAACTTTGAACTTAAGTCTGTCCTTCATGCACAAGATGCAGAGGATCCCACACTGCAGCTATAGGAACCTGGAACAAGCCTGCACAAGCGAGACAGCATCACAGGTGACTAATGCTAATAAATAACATTTAACACTTTTCATTTAATATAAGTTAAAGTGCTTTGCATATCATATGGCTGTTACTGAATATATGTCACCAGCTCTTACAGCTGTTGCACAATTTGTGTAGCAAATGATCTTAAATAAGAGGGTTCTGACAAAGGAAAGGATATTTGTTATCGACCAAATAAGTTTGAACATATCGGCCAAAAATCCAATATCGTGCATCCCTAGATCCATCCATCATCTTTACCCGCTTCTTCCTTTCAGGTCACAGGAATCACTGGTGCCCGTGTCCAGCTGTCACTGTGCGAGAGGCGGGGGACACCCTGGACATGTCTCCAGTCCATCACAGGGACACAAAGAGACAAACAACCATTCACTCTCTCACTCAGAGCAGGAGTGTCAAACGGTGCCAGGGTGCATGAAGGGCCCAAACATTTAGGCCTCCAGTTTAACACGTGATTTAGTTACCAGTCAGCCTAACATGCATGTTTTTGGTCTGTGGGATTAAACCAGAGTACCCGGAGAAAACCCACGCATACACGGAGAGAACATGCAAACTGCACCCAGAAAGGTCCCGGGGGATTTGAACCAGCAACCTTCTTGCAGAGAAGCAACTGCTCCACCGTGCCGCTCACTTTCCCTGAAGGAATTTTAACAAAATCTTTAGAAAGTAATCTGTTGGGTGAAATCTAATTAACTTTTATAATGATTAACATTTGCAGTCAACCCAATTCAAGATGGCTGCCATAGCTAATTAGAATTACCCAACAAGAATGGTTAATCTTAAAGAATTTACAGACACTGAGCTTAAAACTGGGGCAGGATTAGCTGATTTTATTTATTTACCGTTATTTGCAACATATACTGTAGATTTCAACGTTCATGCTCAATAATCCAGGTTAAAAAATCCAACGATGTTCAGTCAGATCATCTGGACAGTTCCTCTTTTTTGTTGTTGAGACGTTTCGCCCTCTTTGACGTCTTGAACCACTTTGGCTGTGGCAGCTTAAGAGCCGACGGGGGAGAGGACAGCCCCCAGGAACCATCCAGCAAACTGGTTGGTCCGCTGTAGGAGTGTACCGCTTGGTGGGGAAAACAGTTGGTGACTCCTCAGACTGATGAAGCCCTATGGATGGATGGAGGGCGAAACGTCTCAACAAAAAAATAAAACTGTCCAGATGAGCTGACTGAACACAATCTGCTGTAAAACAATGTTCAAACACCCAACCTGTGACACTAATAATAAATAAATGTCAGTTTAGATGTTTCTATTTGTTTGTTTGTTTGTTTACTCTGCTTTTATTCTTACTTTCAGTGTATTTTTCATGACTCTGCTCGTCTTTTCCAGAGGTTTCCTGGTTAATCTTCAGATGGATGGATGACTCGACTATTAAACATTATGGACAAGCTAAATATTTTTAGCTAATTCAAAATGTTCACATGTAACCACCGTCCTGTTCAAGTAAAACAAAGAAAAATCAGTTGCGAAAGAGAATTTGAAGTAATCCAGAGTTTTCTGGTTTCAGACAGAGATCGTCTTAATCATCACGGATTTATCTTTGAACTAATAATGTTTCCACTCAGATTAGCTCATGTCTGTAAATCAATCCGCAGATTAGCACAATTTAAAAAAAACAACTTGATGCAACAAAGAACCCAAGTGTCCGTTAGATGTGTTGGGTCACGCTGAAAGAATGTGAGGAATGCAGGTTTTTTTCAGCCTCCTGCTGGAAAAGGAGAGGCCGACAGAGACGTCTGACTCAGTGTGATCCCTACGCAGTGACATCATCAGTCTGACGCCTCGACCTCTTCACAGAATGAAATGTGTCTTTTGTCAGGAGGGTTGACACTTTAACTGCCACTCAGACCTTTATTGAAATAAATCACACTCTCTTTGTTCCCGGCTAATTTACATGATGAGCAGCTGAAAGGTTTCAAGCTGTTTCCAGGTTCTCCAAGTGTCAGATTCCACATGAGGACTTTGCCCGGGCAGAACCCCAGCAGCCAAGAAATGACCAGAAGTGTTGGATCTGATAATGTGGAGATTTACGTCTTGTGCACGTGAACAGCTCTGCACACGTTTTTGTCTTTAGTTTTGTTTGGCTGCACAATAACTGCACTTTAACAATCAGTTTACTTTTTTTTTTAAAGTTGTCGGGTGTTTTTGTGCAACAGTACTGGAAGACGACCTCATTAAAATGTTAATTTTGTCGTTATCAGGTGCAGAAATTGAACATTTTTTCCACATTTGGAGCCAAAAGTGCAATGAAGGCAGATATATTCCGCTTCTTTCTATATTATAATCAATACTTGTAAAAAGATGAATAAAAAAACAACCAAAACCAGCATCATTGAAGGTTTGCCTACATTTAAACACACAAATCCAAGATTTGTTTGCAAACTTTTAGCAACAACAACAAAAAGTAAAAATGCTCTAATTAAATGTAAGAATAAGTTTGATCTGAAAAAAATTATCTGTCGTTTAAATGATGTATTTGTATTTTTATATATTTTATGGGCTGAGTCGTGGCAGGAGGGAGCAGCCAAAAGAAAAACATGTACTTTTTATATATTTATTTTATGTATGTACCATTACTGTACATAACCACTTAAAGCGCCACCTGCCTTGGCCCAGGACACAACTTTACTTTTTCCTGGTTGAACCAAACCGTATCTCTTCATCTTCGTCTCGTCAAAACAAGACATCTGATATGAGATTTTATTTTTTCTTTGTTTTAGCTGCTGAAATATCAGACAAACCGTAGACAGATTATAAATCAGATTATTTCCTTTGCTGGTTATGGTTCTGCTCCAAAAGTGAAAATAATGCTACAACAAGTGGAACAGAGATAACTGCAGAATGAGAGAATGATAAAATAGTTCAGCCAACATGAATCAGACTTCCAGAGCAAAATGAATCCATCTCATCCGACAGCGTTTCCGAGGAAGACACTTGTGGCGTGAGAACATCTGGAAATAAAACTTTTTAACCTTTTATGAATTCTGCCAGTGACGCTAAATAAACTCGTGGTTTTATCACAAGTTTGAACCCAGATTCTTAGTTAATCCCATCCGAAGGCCTGAATCACAAACAGATTTTCTCTTACAGACATTTCAATCCAAGCGACTGGAGGAAAATCAATCTGCTACTAGTTGTTGCATCTTGTACTTAAAGACCCGGTGGGGCAGCTTTCAGCCACAGAAGGATCCTCACTGGAAACTTGGAAAAGCACGAGGAAGAAACTGAGCAGGAACAGAAAACATCTACCGGCAGTTCAGCGTGCAGTCATGCATCTGGCAGGGTAAACAGCTGTGACAGCGTTCGAGCTGCTTCAGGAGCGGAGTGAACGTGTTTGATGTGTTCAGCAGGCCCGTTTCACCCCAACACGCTTACTCAAACATGAAACGCCAACAAGTGAGTGCAGTGTGTCACATAATCGCCCACTTCCACTGTTTCCGTTGGAGTTCGTGCCCTTCTTTTTTGCTGGGTCAGGCAAACAAACGCTGGAGTTTCCTGTGTGTACTCAGTGGACGCCTTATTTTCCCAACTCTCTTTACTTTTACTGCCAAGGACGAGCGCTGAACTCATGAACAGCTGCTCTGTTAACTTTAAAGGACCGAACGAAGCACAACTTCAAGGTCTGACGTGTTTTTCCTCGTTTTTACTATGTTTGTTTTCCATGCCTTTGGTGTGACCTGAGTCTTAATAAAAAGATGCATAATATCCAGACAGCTAGTCAAACAGAGTGACAAATAAATAAACTCTTTAATTATTGATTAATAAGTTATTGCAAATGAGACTTAAAGGCCCAAAATTCCTTATAAGAATGCATGTCACTCGTTAACTTCCATGCCAGCGTCTTAAATTAAGTTCAGCTTTTGTTGACAAATGACAAGTTATATTCAAACCTTTAAAATAAGATTATTTTCATAAAATGTAGAATAACTGTAAACTCTTGTGATGTTAGACTCAGCTTGGATTTAGCTCAATATTTGTTAGATTTAGTCATTTTTGTGTTTTATGAGTTCAGTTTGTTAGAACTTTAAAGGATTCTTTAATATCATTAAGCAAACGTATAGAAAATTATGTTTCAATTTCAACTTGAATTGATTGGGAAGAAAAAAAAATCTTGCACAAATGAACGTGTTCAATGTTTTTCTTCGTTTTAGAGGTTTAATTTATAAGGAGACGGTGAGAGGAAGTTTAGAGTTTGTAACAAAGTTTATTTATTTTCATAAACAATATGAACAGAAACCCTGGGCGTGTTTAAAGGAGCACGTGCCACTTCATTTAGAAAGTGGACATTGATCATATTAAACCAACTCGTGGTGCAGCTTTCTGTTTCTGGAGCAAGTCTGACGCAGGATGAGTTACAATCACAAGAACTACTGTTTGGTTTATTCTTGCTTATTTATCCGTCTTCAAGAGTGGATTCAAACAAACAAACAAAAAAATCTTCTTGCCAGCATAAACTATTTTCTCCCTTTGTTTTCCTGAGCCCATCTTGATGATGTCATACAATTAAAGTAGCTGAGCCAACATGGAGTATGAGTCACTGCGTCTTCAGTGTCAGCAGTTATGGACACAGCAAGAAGACAACTGTCCACCTTTAATGGCAGTACCACATGTTGCCACTGGGAGGGAAATGGACACGCTGACTCACTCCATCTCTTAAAACAACAGGATCGATCCGAGCCCAAACAGTGAGCGTGCAGCTGACGTTACAATAAATGCCCCGGAGATGTGCAGTGATGACATCACCGTCTGCTGAAGTGACTCGCTTTCTGTCCCAGACAAACACTTTCTCCTGATGTATCTGCAAGTCACCGCATCTCGGTCATTATTGGCAGGTTGTCATGGCAACATCAAATTGTTGAGGGTATTGACACCACAAAACAAGCTTAGGGCTCAGTATGAGCGACTTGGCATGAAGCCCGGTCCAACAATCCAATCCAATAAGGTCAGGTCCTCTGGACAGATTGTTTGTTCTTTACGTTTCATCCTTTATCCAAAAGACTTCTTCACTCTGAGATCTTGCAACAAGCTCAGCACCTTCTGTCAGAACCAGTTATTCATAAAGGAGGACCATCAGCCTAACAATGGATCGTTAGCGCCCTAACAATTGTTCGTTACGCGTCCTGATGGCCGCTGGCTATTCAAAGGGGGCTGAACAAAAAGTTGAAGATTTGCTGTCATGTAAGCACAACAAACCTTAATGAATTAATAATAAAAAATAAATAAAACATTAATAGATGCGTCTGTTTCTGCTGGAAAGGAAAGTAGCGTCAGGAGTTTCCAGCTTCTCTTTCATGTGAACTGTGCAGAGGTAAAACTAACATTTGGTGCCTGTACTGTCAGGTTTACAAGGAAGTCATGCATGTGGTCTGAAACAACTCCCAGCCAAGTTACACCAATAATTTATGATATTTTATGATGCAAGGACTTACACAGAAAACAAAACATCCACTATTGGCAGGAAAATACTCAGAAAATGCCAGAATTTAAATAATTTGACTTCAGAACGACTTCTTGTTGCATAAACTTCATAACTGCTTCTGCTGTAGTTCTAATTAACTTGAATATTTTCTTTATAAACCTAATTTTTCAAACTTTAGTGCTTTTTAATGCATTTTAAATGCTCATGCAAGCGATATGTTCATGCATTAACAGCGTAAAGCTGCGAGTTTTGATATTTTATGTCCTCGTTAGGATTTAATAAACTAAAAATAATAATAAAGTTTCATTTCAGCTCCTACAGAAGCAACTAAGGAGGAAAATGTTCCAGAAACATGCATTCGTATTAACATTAAGAGATATTGAAAGTATAAAAGTCACAAAATGTATTTAATTTTTACAATTAAAATAATTTTTAACACCCCAAAGTGTTTAAAGAACTCAAAACCTTTAACTTTAAAGGTTGATTTTTGACTGAGAAGGAAACTAGAGCAATTTAGATTGGACTAGTTTAAGGTATTTGGGGAAACCCCAAACACACGCACACACACACACACAGAGACACACACACACACAGAGAGACGCACACACACACACACACACACATGCACAGTGAGACACACACACACACACACACAACTTCATCCAATCACAGACAGTCCTGAAACTAAACAGGTTATTAAGAAACCCATTAAAAAGGCATGAAAACACAGGATTTAAACTAATGTTTCATTCATTCATCTTTCCATCTGTTGTCCCTCTCCAAGTTCTCTCAGGCTGAAAGTAAAAGTAACGAGCACGTGCACTGCAGCACCTCCACCCTCCTCCACACAAACACTCCCTCCTCCACACACAAACACACGTTGTGTTGGTCTGAAAGTAACAGGAACAAACTTACATTTCATCTTTCTGCTCCTGCTGCAGTAAACAAACGTCCTCCTGAGTCCAGTGTGAGTACAGTACGTGTGTGAGTTTGTGTTTGTGTAGACAAAATGTAAAAGTTCCCTTTTATAGCTGAGAGTATGACACATCACCTGAGTCATCAGCCATCGTCGCCATTCAAGCATCGACGCCCACGCTGGCCAGCCACCCCTCTCCCCCCTCCACCTCCTCCACCCCATCTGAAAAAAAGTTTCAAATATCTTTGTTTGTTGAAGTCATTACAAAACAAATCTCATCATTTAAGCCGAAGACTCAAAAAACCCCATTTATTTAAGAAATCCACGCGGCCCCTCGCTCTCTCAGGTGACTTCAGCTCACATCACACAACTTTTGGAAAGTTAGAAAGTAAATAGAAACAGAAGTTTAAAATGTGGATGGAGAATAAAAAGAGGAAGACTATTTAGTTTATTCTGTTGTTTTTTTAATTCTCTGGGGTGTTCTGCTGTAAATGAGTGGGAAGATGGGAATGTCATTGTGTGTAAATAAAAGTAACAATACTGCCCAAATATAAAACACATAAGATTAACAGGAACAGAGTCCGCTTTCCTCCAGAGATGAAATAAAAAATAAATTAATAAAACTTTCAACTCTTTTTGCTGATTTTCTAGAAACTAAAACTAATCTTTTAGAAATTATATCCTATACCTTCTTGGTTTAAAAAAAAAAAAGAGAGGCTAATAGGTTGTTTATGTCATCCCAATAAAAAGATAATAAAATGTCCATAGTTTACGTCTTCCAGGATTGTGTTTGTATGAATCTTTGATTTTCAATCAGTTCTCTGTGCTGAATGAGAAAGCAAACTTCGTGGTTCATTTAAGAATTTTAAGTTTGACCATAAAAGTGACAAAACTAACATTTGCAACATTTAATGGAAACAAATATGCAAATGCATAAAGCATTTCTTATTTCGTTTTTCTTTGTTTGGCAATCAACAAACTCAGGCCTTGTCCACATGAACACAATATTTTCAAAACAATCATTTGTCATACATACACATATATACATATATATATATATGAAACTGCCACTGTTACCAGAATTACCTTTATCCAGAATGCTGCCATAGCTCTGCCAGGCCTTTATGAGTCGCTGTAACTCTGGCGTGAAAATACACCAAAAACAGGAAACAAGGCGTGGAACATGTTCATAAAGCTGACAGGCTGGCTGCAAAATGTAAACGCAGGAAATCGAGGACGACCTCAGGTTATATGTATATAGAAGTGGGGTTAGATCATTGCTTTCATAAGTGTTTGAGATGTCCATATTAAGGTTTGATGTTTCAAGACATTGTTATTCTGGAAATCGTGTTTTGAGAAATACCATGCTGAGGCTACAGTTTCCATGTGGACGTGAGGCTGAAACGGTAGAAACATTTACATATTCATGTGCTTGGCCCCCTTACGATATACGAGTGTGTATTCGGAGATTTGCAGTACCCAACTTTTCCACAAGGTGTCACTAAAACATCAACACTTTTCCTTTGAAGTAAATAAAACTTACGTTGCTTTGACAACACCCCAAATAATTTTAAAACAGGTTGCATCACAAATATGAAAATATCACATGAAAATATTAGAAGCTCAACAATAACAAATTTACGTATTTAAGCAGTAATTTTATAGCAAAGTAATCTTTTTGTACACCTGCTGTAGTTTCTGCTCCTCTCAGCAAGGGGCGCTACAGCGAGCAAACTCACAAGAAATTTAGCGAGTGTTTTATGCCGATGCCTTTCCTAAAGCAACTTACTTTAGCGCTGAGCACGTCCCGTTAATCTGTACATGTGTACTTTAGTTAAATAAAAGTACTATGCTAAATTTTCATTTCGTATTTTGACCACATGAGTGCAGGAGAAACCAACTGTAAGCACAATACTGACAAATTAAAGTCAAGGTAATCTTGACGCTTGCTTGTTTTCTTAAAATAAACAACGTAAGGGTGAAAAAAAAAAGAATAAACCAGGATATTATTAATTTAGATTGAACCTTCTTTTATCCCAGCGAATAATACTTCCTGGGCAAAAAACAATTAAAAAAAAGATCCATTCTGACCTCCTCTCTCTGCACACCATGTTTTTCCATCTTGATGTTTTTCTTGACCAGTAAATTAAAATAGCCACAACATTTTAACATTTAGAGCCTAAATGAATGTAATCAATAACCACATGTTGTATGAACACTTCATGTTCAAACAGAATCCAATGTATGCCTTTTGTGAAGCGGACCGTTTCTTTTTCATCCATTTTCTTCATAGAGTCAATCAGTTTCATCATTTCTGGGCCTGGAATCAACCAGTTTCTGAAACTCGATAGCTGTAAAGTAAGTTTTGTTTCTTTTGCAAGCAAAGCTTTCAGCTCCTGCACCGTAAAGTTCAAAGAAGTGACGTAGTTTTCTCTGTGGACTCCCTTTCTTCCATTCTCTGTAAGATTAAGGTGAGAATTCTTATTGTCTCAGCATCATCTAGAAAAACGCAGATCAGTTTACTACAGTTTCAAGAACTTGTATTTGTAATCATGGAAGTAAATGCCAAAAATATATAAAAAAAACAACAACTATAATCTCAAGCCATTATTGTGCTCATTTGTCTTGGTGACATTTAATAATATTAAAGTTTATATTTAGAGATCAAAGCTCATACTCAGTAATCCAGGTTAAAAATCCAACATTGTTCAGTCGGGTCATCTGTATGGTTTATTTATTTATTTTTTTGTTGAGATGTTTCGTCCTTCATCCAAAGGACTTCATCAGTCCTAGGAGCCACAAACAGAGTCCCACAAGCAGCACACTCCCATAGTGGACCAACCAGTTTTCTGATTACAAGATGTTTCTGGGGCTCACCCTCTCCCCCGTTAACACCTCTGAGGCAGCCATAGCCAAAGTGGTTCAAAACATCAAAGTCCATGCTCAATAATCCAGGTATTAGGGATGCACAATCCACTATTTTCACTTCCGGTACCGATATCTGGGGGTTTGGTATCGACCGATAAAATCTGATACTGATCTGATGCAGAAAAACTATGCTGAATTAACATAATGGTTGAAATCATGTCATCTGGACCCATTTCTGAAACAGGTCCAGATGACATGATTAAGCCATTTTTGTTGTCGTCTACCTGGATGATTGAGCTTACAAACCCAGTGCTGAATTAACTCAAAACTCCATTTTGAAAACAATCTGCAGCGAGTTCGCTAGCGCACGACGTCACTCAGAGCACAAAGCACAGAATTAGAGTAAATAGATCTGGCCAGTCATGGAGCGGTCACATTGTCACCGATACCCAATCCAGAAGTTTTTTTGGGATATCAGGACCAATGCCGATATTTGTATTAGATCGGTGCATCTCTACCAGGCATACAGTCCAACAATTTTCCTTGACTGATGAAGCCTTCTGGATGAAAGGTGAAACGATTCAGCACCAAAAAAAAAAAAAAGAAACTGTCCAGATGACCTGACTGAAAATTGTTGGAATCCAGGTAAAAATTCAACAATGTTCATTCAGGTCATCCAGACGGCTTCTGTTTTTTTTTTTTTAGATGTTTCGTCCTTCATCCAAAGGACTTCAGTCTGAGGAGAGATTGGATTATTGAACATGAACTTTGATGCTTTGAACCACTTTGACTTTGGCTGCCTCAGAGGAGTCAGCGGGCGAGAGGGCGGGCCCCACAAACCATCTCATCACCAGCAAACTGGTTGGTTCACTAGCGTGCTGGTTGTGGAACTGAATTTGTGGCTCCTCAGACTTATGAAGTCCTTTGGATGAGGGACGAAACATCTCAATAAAAAAAATTAACTGTCCTGATGACCTGACTGAACGATGTATTTATGTTTAGAGGTTGGAGAAGTTTTGGATGATGACGAACAAGTCACTGTAAAGCTGAGCGTCTGAATTAAACCTCCTCTTTCTTTTTTATTCTTATATTATTACATAAATGTCTGGTTGTGCTTAGGTACCAAAAGCTGCAAGTAAAAAAAAATTAAAAATTCAAGTTTCTAATAGAACAAATCACAGATGACATGAACTAGAAATGACAGAAACAACTTTTTACTGAAATTAAATATTTTTAAGCTGTGTCTTTGTGCCACTCATCAGAAAACACGTGTTTTCAAACAGTTTCGATGTAATTAATCATTAAAGTTGCCTTCATGCATCACTGAGTTGCGTAAAACAGAATATGTAATGAAAACCGCAAAACAATATTTATATTTATCTTATCCTAAACATTAGTTTTTAACAACTAAACTTTATTTTTACATTGTATTTATATGTATAAACTTTAGATTATTGCATAGCAAGATGTAAGATTGCAACAGAATGTGGCAGCATGAAGAATGTTGAAGCAAGAATGTGACGTCGTGCATGTGCTCGGTTTTAAAACCATGTCTGAATGTTTAACCTCAAGTTTTCAGGTCTGTTACTGTTTGTTCTGGGTTAATCTATATAATTCATCGGTTTTCAAGTTTAGATAATCTGCTGAACAGATTACACAAACCAAGCAAGCTTGGACTTTTCCTTTTACTTGTGTTAGCAGTTTTTTTTATGCTACTTTAACAAATCAACTGCACAGGCTGTAGGAAAAATGATGAAATTAAGCAACATTTTATCTTTTCCAGATGTTTTTTTGAGCGCACATTGCATTGGCATTCAAATCATTCCGTACAGAAACTCCTGAAGATGACAGAGTTGGAGCTTCTGTTCAATAAGTCATAACTTACTCAGTTTAAATCACTCAAAACTAAAGATTCAGCTAAAAAACTGTAAATTCTGTGTAATTGGAGGCTCATTATCCCAGTTTATTCATTAGAGAGTGGTTTGGCTTGGAGTGAAAACTGCATCGTCAGGGTGGATCAAAAGTGCAATCTGCTGAATGATGCTGCAGAGTTTCCAAGAAGCCACCAGTTTCCTGCTTCTTCTAAAACGTGTTTGATGGTTCCCCTCCACCCACCAGGATGCAGATGAAAGTGAATAGGTGAGCTCCGTTCAGACTTCCTGCTGAAACGCAGCACCTAACCTCGTTACATGTCATCAGACGGTGTGTTTTTTGTTAAATGCTGAAGTGATAACTTTTGACCCAGTGAAAGTAAAGCCTGGAAACGAGTCATGGCGGCTGCTG